GCGTGCGGCCCGGCGTCGGCCCCCTCGGCGGCTGCCTGGTGGCTGCGGCCGCCCCCGGAGCCCGCTGAGCCGCCGGCTGAGAAGAGTGCAGCTGCCGCCCGGCCCCGCGCCCATGAAGGCCGACAGCATGCGGCTCAGGGAGCGCTCGCTGCGGCAGGACCCCGACCTGCGCCAGGAGCTGGCCCTGCTGGCCCGCGGCTGCGACTTCGTGCTGCCTTCGCGCTTCAAGAAGCGGCTGAAGGCCTTCCAGCAGGTGGGGGGCGCGTCTGCCTGTCTCCGTGTCTGTCCGTCCCCTCCCCGCCGTCGCCTGGGAGCGGTGCTCGCAGCCCCGGTGTTGCAGCCAGCCACCCCAACGCCTCCGGCCGAGGGTGGGGACGCGCGGCACGAGAGCCCCCGCCCGCTTTGTTTGGGGAAAGTTGTCCCCTGGCTCGGTTTGGGGAGAGTGCGTGTGGGCCAGGCGCGGCGAGGTGACCGCTGCTCCCGGCCCCGGCCCGGGAAGCTCACCCTCCAAGGGGAGCCCTGGCTGCGTCCCGGTGGCTGACCCTGCACCTCGCCCGCCATGGCACCTGCTCGGGGCCAGTGCCCCAGCAGCAGGAGGGTGGACACGGACAGCAGGCTGGCTTCTCTGTGAGGCCCACGGGGACGGACGCCCTGCGGAGGGGAGGCCCGGGGCCACGCGGGCTGCCGGCACCCCAGCGCCCGGCCGTCTCTGCTGCCGGGGACCCGCTCCCCTTCTCAGCCTTCGGGGACTCGCTCGCGGAGCACGTGGGTCGCCGTTCACAGCGGGCGGCGCGCTGGTCCACGGGCACCGGCTGTGAAGGTTAAGCCTAGGCGTCAGCGCCCAGGGCTGGGAGGTTGCCTTTCTGATAGCCGTGCCGCACGGCCCTGGCTCCGAGCGTGTGGTTCTGGAGGGGACAGAGGTGCCTTCTCCCTGCCCCCCGGGGGCCCCGCAGTGGCCTGGGCATCTTGTCTGAGGGGCCGTGCGCCAAAGTCCCTGGCCGTTCCCCACTGGGAGCTGGTGCCAGGTACTGCTTCAAAATGAAACTGGTCAGAGAGACTTTGAAAACTTCCTGCAGGAGGCACCTTCCTGCCAATGTTTTTTGGCATCTTTCCTGACTCGTCCATGTCACAAGTGCCACGTAGTTTCTGTATTTTTCTGTCCGGCCTCTTCCCAAGTTTGAAATTTGTGCATGGGCAGGGTTCTGCTGTGGCTTTTGTTTTTGGAAGATTGCCTCTTTGCTCCCATCGTCACTTAAGACATGGAAAGTGGGATGAGCACACGGCGGACTTCTGTGGCCAGCAGGAAGTGAGGCCTTGGGACGGTCCGTGTCACTCAGCCGGCCTCAGGGGACCCATTGCTAATGAGGGGTCCTGAGCCTCCCTGTACGGAGGCTCGGGGCCTAGTCCAGGGCTCGGGGCTCGGGGCTCTGGGCTGGGGACGGGGCCGTCTCTGAGAATCTGGGAGTTTAGAATGCATGTTTCACAGAAGTCAATGATTTGGGGTGCAGAGTTTGAGAACCCCACTATTGGTTGTTTCATTTTGCAAAAAGCCGGTCTTAACAGAGGCTTTCCGAAATGAGACTTGTGCTTGGGTGAAGTGGGGGCACCCCCACTACAGGCACCAAGGTTTTCTGGGGGATGTGTGTTGGGGGCCATTTTCCTGGCTGGTCCCAGGAACAGTCCTGAGTGTATATGGGGGGAGTGGGGGCCCCCAATGGACCTAAGGCACGTGACTGCTGACCAGAAGGCTGGCGGTTCAAACCCACCCGCCACTCCTCGGAAGGAAGGTTGGGCAATCTACTTCCGTAGTGATACCGCCTCGGAAACCCAAGGAGGGGTCGCTGTGAGTCGGGGCCAACTCGACAGCAGTGAGTTGTGTTTTTGTTTGGGGGCCCACACGGTGGTAGGGCTGTAGTGTTGTCTTCATTGGCTACTTGGAGTGTCCTGGTGGGAGTGTCCCCTGATGGGAGTGTGACACGTCCAACTTGCGGGGCCATTGTCACCACGCCAGGGGAGCGTGACGGACCTGCTCTTGGTCCCAAAAGCCTTGGCTTCTCTTCCGGAAAGCTCCATGCTTACAGCTCGTGGGCAGCCGTGCACACGGCCCCCCCGTTTGCTGCCCACACCCCGTTGGGGTGATTGACCTGTTGCCCGCTGTGCCTCTGACGCTGGGGAGGGTTCTCGGGCTCCAGCGTCAGGGGTTGACGGGGCCCACTCTTGGCCACTGCCGCCGAGGCTGGGCCGGGGCCAAGCGGCTCCCTCCTCTCCGGCCTGTCCCTGGGGCTGTAGGTCCTGCTGGGAGGTCTCTGTGTCCTCACAGGTCGGTGCCCCTGCCGGACACAGAGCAGAGCCTGACCAGCGTCTGTCCGTGTGTCCCACCTCCGTCGGTCCATGTCCCCAGTTGGTCTGCCCTGCCTGAGATGCTCCGGCCTCCTGTGTCCATGGAGGGCGTGCGGGGCAGGGGTCACCTGTCAGACCCTCCGTCCTGCCCTCCTGGCCCTGGTGTCCACGTGGTCTGGCCCCAGCCTGCCCCTCACTCCCTGAGCATCTGCATGGTGTGAGCGTGAGGGGTGCAGTCTCCTGCGCGGTGTGAGCGTGAGGGGTGCGGTCTGCACCCAGGAACCCCGTCACAGTCCAGGTGCCTGGTGCACCTGGGCCCAGCCTCGCGTGGTGTGGTTTCTGCCCGGGTCCCGCAGCCCTGTCCTGCTGTCTGGACACCGACACCCAGCTGCCACCGACGGGATGGCACGGCTGCCAGCTGCCCGTCGCCTGCTCAGTGTGCGCCATCCTATGTGGTCAGGTGCTGTCAGACTCTCGCCCACCGAGTCCTCAGAGCACCACGCGGCCAGCGGTGCAGAGCGTGTGGCCACCCACGCAGACACAGGGCTGTGTCCTGAGAGTTTACGTGTTGCTGCGTGAGCCGTGAGTTCTGACTCACAGCGACCCTGTGGGACAGAGCAGACCTGCCCCGTGGGTTTCCAGCCTGTCACCTTCACGGGAGCACATTGCCACCGCTTTCGCCACCAAGCCACTGGGGGGGTTCCAACCACCAGTTTTTGGTTAGCAGCTGACCACGTGACCATTGGCACCACCATGGCCCCTTGGAAAATTAGGAATTTACCTGCTCCCTGAATAACCGGGATGCATGTCCCCACAGGAAGGGGTCCCGTTTGTGTCCCTGCAAGGCTGTTTGTGGTCGTGGGGTGGGCTTTGTAAAGCGCCTGTGGGTCTGAGAGGCCGGCTGGTGGGGGCCCGAGTGTGCCCACTGCAGCAGTGGCAGTGGACCAGGGAGTGGACCGGGGACAAGCACAGCTTTGCGTGTGGCTGGACTGTCGCGCGGCCTGGGCTCCCGGGAGTGTCAGCCGTCTCTTCATCTGGGTCTGCCTGGCCCCCTTGTGGTCAGGGCGCTGCCTGCAGGCTCCCAGGGGCTGCCTTCTGCCCTGCGGCTGCATGTGTTGAAAGAATGTGTGGTGTGCAGCTGCGCGGGCAGCCACCTCTATTTCTGTCCCCGGATCACAGGGTAAAACCCCCGCGTCCGCGCAGCTGGCTTTGTTTGGAGTTGTTTGGGCTGCCCTGTGGTTGCCGGGGAGCTGGTGGCGCCTGCCTCTGCCGTGTGTGTGTGTGTGTGTGTGTGTGTGTGTGTGTGTGTGTGTCTCACGTGTTTCCTTCTATGTGTGTCACTCAGGTGAAGTCAGGACAGTTGGGCTTTGCTTCCATGAAGACAGCCTTGGAAACCCTGTGGGGCAGTTCCACTCTGTCCTCTAGGGGCGCTGTGGGTCAGAATGGACTCCACGGCAGTGGGTGTGGTTGGCTTTTGATGCAACTCTTCCAGCTTTCTCTTGGTCACCGCTTGGCTGGTGTGTCCTCTTCCTTTTTAAATCTCAAGGCTCTCTGTGTCCCTGTGTTATCTTTGTTTGCATTATAAATAAATATGGTTCTTTTCCAGGTCTGATTTTATCTTTGGACTCGCACATTTAGTGTGTCCCTGTTTGTTACGGCTGTTAATCCATGCTGACTTATCTTTACCGTCTGGCTTTCTCTCCTTTCCTTTGTTACATCACCCTTCTGCCCCTGCTTCCTCCTGACTGTTCTTCTACTTGTTTTGAGTTCACCCTCCTGCTCCCCGGTGCTGCCCAGTCGGCTCTGACGCACAGTGAGCCTGGATACGACACGAGGAAGCGGTACAATCCTCACTGTCTTTGTGCTTGGTGTGGTTGAGTGTGTTGGTGGGGAAGCTGCCTGGCACCGTGTCAGCCCGTCCCGTGGCGGGGGTTGCGCCTTCTCACGGCCCCTCCACTTTGCACCCGGGACGTGCCTCTCTGCTGACTGGCTTTTCCTCGTGGCGAGTCCAGGGTCGGCAGGCTGGCCTGGCCGTCAGCCTTCCACGGGGCACTGTGGTGTCTCTTCTGGGAGCGATGAGCTCGTTCTCCTGGTGTCCACGGTGGAGTGCCTCGTTCCGTGCACTGTGCGTCCGGTGATTGACTGAGCTGTGACCTGTGGTGGCCTGTGTTCGACAGAGCCAGCCTGACTCGGTCCTGCTGCATCTTCACAACCCCTGACGTGGTCGGTCCCTCACCGTGTCCACTGTCTCAGTGCGTGTCATGGAGGGCCTCTCTCCTCACTGACTCTGCACTCTGTCAACCACGGAGTCCTTCCGTAGCGATGGGTCTTCACTGACGCCACGTCCAAAGTCAGCCGCCTGACATGGTGGCCACGTGGGACACCGTGCTGTGTGCATGAGCGGGCGGCCCGTGACCGCGGCAGTCGCCTGCACGGCGTCTAATGTCCTGGCATCAGCTGAAAGTTCTGTCTAAGTGAGTTCAGGGCACTCGGTGAGGTTACCACCAGACGGCGTCGGTTTGTACACATTGTGCATTCATGTGGAGAAGACACTTGACCATTTTCAAGCCGTAACGAGTGCTGCCTGTTTGCTTTCTCAGGTCCAGACGAAGAAGGAAGAGCCACGGCCTCCCGCCTCGAGCCAAAGCATTCCAGCATTTTACTTCCCGAGAGGTCGTCCACAGGGGACTGTCCACATTGACGCTGTCATTGCCCGCATAGAGGCGACCTTTGCCCAGTTCCCACACGAACGGGCTGCCCTGGAGGACATGGGCCGGGTGGCCAAGGTAGGCTTGGTGCATGTGGGCATGTCCACCACTCCACCAGGCTCGCACCTGGAGTCTAGGTGGGCCGCCCTGGAGGACATGGGAGGGTAGCCATGGGGTGTGGGAGGGGCTCAGGTTGATTTCTCTGGCCCGGGTTTTTGACAGCTTGAGACGCTCAGGGATGTGTGTACACTTTGTCATTAAACTTGGTGAGCACACAAACAGGTTGTGGGCTGATCTCAGATGTGACGGCAGACGGGGACTGTGTGTACACTTTGTCATTAAACTCGGTGAGCACACGTGTGGTGCATGGAGTGACCTCCCAGCTGTGACAGCACGCAGGCGGTGTGTGTTCATTTTGCCGTTAAGCTCGGGGTGCCCGTGAGGCGTGTGGTGACCTCCAGCTGCGACAGTAGGACCTTTTGGCCTGGCCCCGTCCTGTCCTTGGTGCCCTTTTCAAGGTCCACAAGAATGGCCCTCAGCTGGAGTGTGCCCCCTGTGCCCACTGTGCCCACCGTGGCCTGTGCTCCCCTGACCGCCATGCTACGGGCACACCGTCCCACCCTGTGATGGCAGCCTTCGGTTTTTCGTAGACAACCACTGTCAGTTGCAGGTTCCCTCGTTTCTAGTTTTTGAGTGTGTATATGTAAGTGTGTGTGTGTGTGTGTGTTTTAATGAAAAGGTGTTAGATTTCATGAAATGCTTTCTCTGTCTGCTGAGATGACCATGTGATCTTTGTGTTTCATGACATCGATAGGATGTGTTACATTTACTGATTTTCAACTGTTCAACCAGCCTTGCATTCTGGGGTAAGCCCTACTTAACCTGTGGTGGATAATCCTTGATGTTACTGGATTTGGTTTGCTAGCTTTTTTGTTGTTGTTGACAAAATTTAGCAACTGTGTTTGTAAGAGATACTGCTCTGTAGTTGTCTTGTGAGGTCTGCTGGTGTTAGGCGGCGTTAGCGTAATAGTGGTCTCATAGAACCAGTGAGACAGTGTTCCCACTTCTTTGATTGGGAACTGCCTTTTCAAAGTACGTTTTTGTTCTTGTTTCACTAGTGTGTAAAAACACGTTCTGGTTCCAAGGTCACCATGAATGACCCAGGGGCCTTCAGATGAGTCGGGTCCCATCCTCTTCTGCTGTGTTTCTCTCTCCTGGAAGTGACACAGCCCTGTATCTCTGCTTCACCCTTGACCTCCCTCCTCCTGGGAGTAGGCGGTTCTGTAGCTCTGTTCTACCCTTATACCTCCGTCATCATCGTACACTCACGTCTCCTGGCTGCAGCCATCGTTCCTATAGCTCTGTTTTACCCTTATACCTCCGTCATCAT